TGTCTGTATGCGGATTCATCATTGTCTCGAATAAGACCAATCACTGTTGTGTCATCTGCGAACTTCAGTAGTTTAACAGAGATAGAGTAGTTAGAGATACAGTCATTGGTATACAGAGATAAGTGGGGAGAGCACACAGCCTTGGGGGGGGAGCCCTGTGCTAATTGTACGGGTATCTGATGTGATTCTGCTTAGCTTCACCTGCTGCTTACTGTTTGTTAGGAAGTTCATGATCCACTTGCAAGTGTGTTCAGGTACCTGTAGCTTGTTTAGCTTAGTTAGAAGTGTGTCTGGAATGATGGTATTGAATGCTGAACTAAAGTCTACAAAGAGGACCCTTGCATAGGTCTTTGGAGATTCAAGATGTTGTAGGTTGTAGTGCAGAACCATATTAACAGCATCATCTGTCAATCTATTTGCTCAGTATGCAAATTGCAAGGGATATAACAGCGGATCTGTGATGGTTTGCAAGTGGGACAGCACTAGCCTTTCAAAGATTTTCATGACTATAGATGTTAGAGCAACTGGTCTGTAGTCGTTCAGTTCTTTGATGGTGGACTTCTTCGGCACTGGGATGATAGTAGAGCGTTTGAAGCAAGAAGGAACATAGCATGTCTCTATCAATTTATTGAAGATATGGGTGAAGATGGGGGACAATTGGTCAGCACAGACTTTTAAGCAAGAAGGAGTTATCTTGTCTGGGTCTGGAGCTTTTCCTGGCTTTTGTCTGTGAAATGGGTCTTGCCCTTCCTTTTCTGTAATCACTAGGGGTTGGGAACCCAATGGGATGGGGTAACTTGTAGGAGGCTTGGCTGCTGTTGGTGTGTCTGAGATGGGGTTCTGGAGATAGGTGGCTGTAGTTTCCTTTCAAACCTGCAGTAAAACACGTTCAGGTCATCTGCCAGTTGCTGATTTCCTTCAGCCTGGGAAGGAGGTTGATATTTTTAAGTTTTCCACATGTTTGCTGGTTCATTTGTTGAGAACTGATTCCTTAACTTTTCAGAGTAGCTTCTTTTTGCTGCTCTGATCTCCCTTCTTAATACATTTCTGGCCTGATTGTACAGCATTTTATCACCTTTTCTGTAGGCTTCCTCTTTGGTACAATGTAGCTGCTTAAGTTTAGCTGTGAACCAAGGTTTGTTGTTACTGTATATTCACAAGTTTATGGTGGGAACACATAAGTCTTCACAGAAGCTGACATATGATGTTACAGCCTCTGTGAGTTCATCTAAGTTTGCAGAGGTACTTTCAAAAACATTCCAATCAGTGCAGTCAAGGCAGGCCTGTAGCTTTCACTTTGCCTCCTCCATTCAGGTCTTCACTGATTTAATTGTTGGTTTTGTGGTTTTAAGTCTTTGCCTGTAAGCAGGTACAAGGTGAATCATGCAATGATCAGAGTGTCCCACAGCTGCTCCTGGTAAGGACCGATAAGCATCTTTTGGAACCCTCTGGAATGAGTTGCCTACTGAGCTCCAGATGGCTCCTGATCTCTGCTCCTTCCATCGGGACCTGAAGACTTGGCTGTTCAAGCAAATAGGCTGATTCTGATTCTGGGTTTTATTATTTATTAGTTAATTTGGTTTAAAATGGGATTTTGTTGTACATGTTTTTAACTTGTGTTCGCCGCCCTGAGTCTTTCTGGAGAAGGGTGGCATATAAATACATGAAATAAATAAATAAATAAATCTTTTAGTGTTGTGTAGCAATGGTCTAAAGTATTCTTGCCTCTAGTGGGACAATTGACATGCTGAAAGTAAGGGAAAATTTAAAATAAACAAAAGAAATAAACAAAGAACAAAAGCATTTTTTAAAAAAGTACGCAAATATGTGTGCATGTGCAATCTTCAGGAAGATAACAAATATTGTAAATATTCAGTTTTTCTACCAGAAAGACATTCATACAGATAGAACTAAGTTAGTGGGAAGAATTTTGTTAATACCGTATAGCTAAGAAATAGTCACCACATTTGAGCAAACATATCCTTTATTGTTGGACTATTCAAAATTATTTTCCACACTTTTCAATGCCATTGAACTGTGCTTTGGTAGTGTTATAACAATGTAAAGTAACCATTTTGCCTTGAAACTCAAGAACCCTGCCATGGAGCTGATAAGAAGTGATCCCTGAATTTAGGGAGATACTTTTACGTATGCAACGGGGCTTCTTCCCCCACCTGAAAATACAAATCACCAAATAATGCAGGCAAAGCAAAAAGCATAGGGATGGTGGTAGTGGGGAGTGTCAAATCTTTTATAGGGAACAGAAGCAAAAATACATATATTCAGTATATGTGCTATGTCATAAAGCCAGTGATCAACCAATAAAAGACATTTATTGCAGGTGAAAATTGAACAATAGAAAACATTGATTCTAGATGACATTCCACAAGTGGCAAATTTATGTGCTACATTATTCATTTTCCCAGCCGGGTTTGTATCTTTCTTGAAACTTGCAAGTATATTGAAGGGCATCCAGAATACACTCTCTATTTCTTAGTTGCTAAAAAGGCTAGGTTTTGCATCCTAAAAACCCCCAAAGAAATGGTTTTGGCTAAGAGGAAAACAGGGATCCCTGAACTTCAAAAGGAGGAATGGATGCTATGCTGAAATGTTAACATCATCTTTATTAAAAAGCTAATAATGAAGCCTAAAATTCCAAGTAACAGCAAAAAGAGCATATGAATCCCTTTCATATCTTGTGCCACACCAGTAAGAAAAAAAGGGGCAAAAATGTAATTTTAATGGACAATGCAACAGTTGTTATTCTTTAAAAAACACAGGGCCTGGTGGCTCAGCAGACTGATAGCATTGTGATTAACACCAGCTGTCTGCAATTACTGTAAATTCAAATCTCACCAGGCTCAAGGTTGACTCAGCCTTCCATCCTTTCTAAGGTAGGTAAATTGATGAACCAGTTTGTGGGGGCAATAAGCTGACTTTGTATAAATATACAAAAGTATGAAGGCTATTGCTTAACGCATTGTAAGCCGCCCTGAGTCTCCGGAGAAGGGTGGCATATAAATCAAATTTTAAAAAAAATTGTCATTCTCAGCAGATGTACTACCAATTCATATAAAGTAGTGGTGTCCGTGGCTGAGGCAGTGGGAGAAGGAGTGGCCGATATAAAACAAAGAAGTCCCCTTGAGTTTATTAGATTAATTGGATTGTTTACAGCCAACCAATTTTCAGAAGCCAGTTAAATAACATGATAAAATATCAGCCAATGTTAGGATTTGGAAGATCGATCCAGATATGCATGTATGAATAGTCCATCTCAGATTAAGTATCTATGGAAATTCTCAGTAATCCAGGTCATAGTTGTCCCAAAGGTGCTTTTTAAAGAGGCAACTGGACTTTCTTTGAAGACATTTCACTTCTCATCCAAGAAGCTTCTTCAGCTCTGACTGGATTGTGGTGAATGGAAGGATTTTTACTCCTTGCAGACAGCTGGTCATTTGCATTCTTTTAGCGAGTCATTGAGGCCTCAGAGTCATCTGAGTAATGCAAATGAGTATGAAGCCTAGGCTCCACACCCATTTGCCTATTCAGGTGACCTGAGGACACAGATAAACTTCCAAGTGGCCTCAACGACTCTCTAAAAGAATGCAAATGACTAGCTGTCTGCAAGGAGTAAAAATCCTTCCATTCACCACTATCCAGTCAGAGCTGAAGAAGCTTCTTGGACGAGAAGCGAAACATCTTCAAAGAAAAAACAAGGAAGTCCAATTACCTCTTGAAAAAGCACCTTTGGGACACAGATCTAGTACCATCTTTGCTTTTCAGAGAAGTGAGTTCAACCATTCCAGTGCCATATATTAAGCAATTTATTTATTTATTAAATGTATATCTATATATTATACATTTATAATATAAATTTATATTAAATGTATATGCTGCCCATCTCACATGAAGGAATGGGAAGATGATTCTTAGACATAGTGAAATAGCTGTTTGAAACAGTAACACCTATTCAAATTCATTTACTTGCACAAACCTTTGAAGGCTATAGAACATGATTGTTCAATTCATAAAAGCTTCCTGCCCTTAATACAAGTAAACAATAGGATTAATTGTACAGATAGTCTTCGACTTATGACCACAGCCGAGTCCAAAATTTCTGTTGCTAAGTGAGAAAGGTGTTTTATGATTTTTGCCCTATTTTACAACATTTCTTGCCATAGTTGTTAAATGAATCACTGCAGTTGATAAATTAGTAATCCGGTTATTAAGTAAATCTGGCTTCTCCATTGACTTTACTTGACAGAAGGTTGCAAAAGGGGATCACATGACCCTAGGACAATGCAACCATCATAAATATGAATCAGTTTCCAAGCATCCAAATTTTGACTATATGACCATGGGATGCTGCAACAGTCATAACTGTGAAAAATGGTCATAAGTCACTTTTTTCAGTGTTGTTGTAACTTCAAAAGGTTACTAAACGAATGGTTGTAAATTGAGGACTGCCTCTATCTAGCAGATATTTAGCATGATGCATCAAATATAAAATATATAATATGTTTAAAGCTTGTAAATAAACATCCAAGCTGGAATGTTCCATCATAATGTTCTCAGTTTCCTGTGTTTCAGTGGAACAAAAGTTAAAACACTTCAAATAATTCAGCCATAGGACTCTGTTTGCTTCCTTGCCTTTCATTGAAGGGCCATAACAATAGATGGCAGTTCATGCTGATTGCTACCAATTGCAAGAGTTGGCCAAATGGATCATTTTAAAAACATTGATGAAAACTGTCTGCAATTGTTTCCTACTTTGTTGCCCAGTAAATAAGCACTAAATCCTTCTTTTCCAGCAAAATATATAATATCAAGAATGGACAAGAGCAGGAACAGAGTTCATGCGCATAAACATCTCTCAAAGCTTATCAGATCTACTATACAAAATTATATTTTATATGAACTCTGGCCTGAAAACATACGCAAAGTACCATTGAAGCGGGATTCACTAATCCCAAATTAGTCAGGAGACAAGACCACAGAGATCCAGAGAAAACAGGCTTTATTGAATATTGCTAGCAATAGGCCCAGTGCAGTAACCTGACAAATACTGAGCCCCGAGCAACGCCCTGAGGCAGGTTTTATAGGTTTCATGATCATAGCATACTTCAGTTCCTCAATATGCATACATACAGATAGTTAAACTGGAAAAGTACAAATACAGAAGTAACCTGGAAAAGTACAAAAGCAGAAGTATATGGGTATACAATACGTGCCAGTTACACAATTACAATGGTTACAACATTATAGTTACGACAGATTGCTACAAATGTCAAGTTCCCTTCTAGGAGTACAGATGTAGGAGAAAGGGCAATACATTTATAGATGCGCTATAAATGATATAAAAGCAAGGCCTTTAAGATACATACTGTTAGGATACACCATATGAGGGGCTCTCCTTCATTCCCCCCTGTTGAGACTTTGCCAAGTCATACAATTACTGCAAAGTTTCATTTTCGATGTTACTTTCCTCGATAAGTTTCTGGTATTCCCACCAGGCCATGGCTCGGGCCGTCTCACGAATGCGCTGAGCTGGATCCATAAGACCAATGATAGGAATATGTAAGAGGTGGTTGACTAAGGGCTGTGAGAACCGTAGGAGTTGCCGTTAGGGTATAGACCCGTTGGCCAGAGGAATTGGAATAGAAGAATCCCTCAAGAACTTGTTCAATAACAACTATGTCACAAATAAGGGCACAGTCAATACACAAAACACAATCAATACAATGGGAACAGCAGCAGGAATCACAGGGGCAGGGGCAAAACCAGCACATGAAATCAAGGCAATGCCGATGGGACTTGCCTCCCAGAGCGCAGGGTGAAGCGAGGAGCGTTGCCCGTGCGATGGGTATTAGCCTCCGGAGTAATACCTGCAGGGGGTTCCTCTTCGGCTCCCGTTCGTAGAGGGACAGCTTCCGGAGTGTCACCAGAAGGGGCAGCCACAGGTGCAGCGCGTGGACCTGATTAACCACATCCCAGGCCATGTGGCCTGGGAGGAAAACACGAGAATCGGGCAAGACCCACCAAGCCCCCTGTTGGGAAGCATCGAGTTCACGGGCTTGGGCAAGTTCAGATGCACTATAATGAGGCTGCATAGATTCTGGGGGGTCCCATAAGGCGAGGCAGTGCACCTGCGGGTTGAAAGGTCGCAACGCTGCATGGCGAGCCTCCCGGTCAGCCTTATGGTTACCCAGTTGTGTGTCCGAGGGTGATTTCTGATGGCCCCTACAGTGCATGACAGCCACCTTGCGAGGGGCCCAAACACTGTCCAGCAGGCGGAGGATTTGTGGACCATACTTGATGTCCTTTCCCCCTGCTGTAATAAGTCCCCTCTCTTTATACAATGCCCCGTGGACTTGAACAGTTAAAAAAGCATATTTTGAATCTGTGTAAATGTTAACATCCATATTTTGAGATAGTTCAAGGGCTCTAGTTAAAGCATGGAGCTCCGCCAACTGTGCACTAGTACCAGGAGGGAGGGGTTCGGCTTCCCATATATCAGTAAGGGTAACAACAGCATATCCAGCCTTGCGAACCCCATCCAGAAGGAAACTAGTGCCGTCAGTGTACAGTACATAGTCAGGACGGGGAAGTGGGACATCTGACATATCAGGGCGGCTGGCATATGTTTCCCCAATAGTCTGAATACAATCATGGGCTGCATCAAGATCAGGTTCAGGAAGGAGAGTTGCAGGATTTAAGGAAGTAGATTGCTTTAGAACAATCATGGGGTTGTGAGTTATCAGGCCTTGGTATTTAAGCATTCGGGGATTGGTTAACCACAAATGGCCTTTTGTTTCCAAGACAGCCTTCAAGGCATGAGGGGTTTGTATTTCAAGTTCCTGGCCAAAGGTGAGCTTGGACGACTCTTGAGTAAGAAGGGCCGTGCCAGCAACAGCCTTGAGACAGGCAGGCCAACCCCTCGCAACAGGATCCAGCTGCTTGGAAAGATAGGCTACAGGGCGATGCCAGGTTCCTAACCTTTGGGTGAGAACCCCGACAGCAACATTTTGTTTAGTATCCACAAATAACTGAAAAGGTTTGTCTAAGTCTGGCAAGCCCAAACTGGGGGCTTGCATCAGAGCATGTTTTAAACTTGAGAAACTTTTCTGTTCCTCTTTTCGCCAGAGGAGCGGCTCTCGGTCACTGCCTCTGGTAGCCTCATATAGGGGTTTTGCAAGGAGGCTAAAGTTAGGAATCCAAATACGGCAAAACCCAGCAGCCCCCAGAAACCCCCGGAGTTCCTTTTTGGTCCGTGGGGTGGGGAGGCGGCAAATAGCTTCCTTTCTTTCATGACCCAAGGTGCGTTTTCCAGGCTCAATATCATAGCCCAAGTATCTAACTTTTTGCAAAACCAATTGTGCCTTTTTCCGAGAAGCCTTATAGCCCAGTCGCTGTAGAAGGTGTAGGAGATCATAAGTGTTTTGCCAGCATATGTCCTTTGTCTGGCCAGTGACCAGCAGGTCATCAACATACTGCAACAAGACCTCCGGCTTGGGGAGGTTCAAAGCTTCCAAATCAGCTGCGAGGGCATTCCCAAACAGAGTGGGGGAGTTCTTATAACCTTGAGGCAACCTGGTCCAAGTATACTGCTGTTTACGACCAGTAGCCGGATTTTCCCACTCAAAAGCAAAGAGATGCTGACTCTTTTTATGGACTGGGATGGTAAAGAATGCATCCTTAAGGTCTATGACCGAAAACCATGACGCAGTCTGGGGAATCAAGCCCAGAATAACGTACGGATTTGGGACCAAAGGATGAATGGTCACGGTAGCGGCATTTACTGGCACTAAATTTTGAACCGGACGGAAACGGCCATCCCCCTTAGGAATAGGTAAGATCGGGGTGTTCCAGGCCGATTCAGTAGGGACCAGAATGTCATGTGCCAGATAGAGATCAATTACTCCCTGTATAGCTTGCATAATGTGTCTAGGGTAAGCCCGTTGACGAAGGCGAATTGGATGTTTGGCAGGGAGCTCCTCAACAACAATGGGCGTCTGATGGCGAGCAAACCCAGGGGGGTTGTCCTCAGCCCACAAGGAAGGGACATTAAAATCCTCCCAACCGGAGTCTGCTACGATTTCATGTAAAGCCATTAAGCGCCATGCTTCCTCCTGGGGAACGTCCACCGAGACCTTGCCATATGTCAAAGAGTAGAACCGTCCGGCTCAAAAGAAATCTGAGCCCTTAATTTACTCAACAAGTCTCGCCCCATAAGGGGAAGAGGGCACTCCGGCATGTAAACAAATTGAGTTATCGTTTTACCCCCCGTGTGACAAATTAGGGGTTGAGGAATGGGCGTTTGATTGGCTGGCCTGCGGCCCCCCGGACCGTGATGGTATGCGAGGAGGGCTGGGCCAAGGGTTTGGTTATGACGGATCGGGTAGCCCCTGTGTCTACAAGGAAGGGAATTGGCTTGCCTCCAATTGTGAGACTGACCATGGGTTCAGGGAGGCATGCCGAGCCCGGTCCGTTTCAGTCCCATTCCTCGACTTCGGCCAGACCAATGAGGGGGGTAGTGGACGCCCCTCGTCCCCTCCCTCGAAAGGGTCTGCCTCGTCCACCTCGGCCGTCTCGGGCATAACCTCCCCGATTTCCTTCCTTGGCACGTTCCAGTTCTTTTTCAGGGCATTCTCCCTTCCAGTGGCCAAATCGCTTACATATGGCACACCGATTTGGGTCCAGGGGTCCCCCTGACCCCCGGCTCCGATTCCGCCCCAGGGGTCCCCCTGACCCCTGGCCCCTTGGGCCGCCCCAGGGGTCCCCCTGACCCCTCAAGCCTCTACCCAGTCTTGGCCCATCTCGGGTGGCAGGCCCGCTCATCAAAGCTGCAGCAAGCAATTCTGCCTTTTTATGCATTTTTTGCTCCTGCTTCTGTTCCTCAATTTTGTCCCTATTTGCAAAAACTTTCCTCGCCACTTCCATCAGTTCACTCATTGATTTCCCAAGAGCTCCCTCCAATTTCTGCAATTTTCGCCGTATGTCAGGGGCTGATTGAGAAATGAAGGCCATTGCCAACATGCGAGCATTTTCAGGCTGAGTAGGGTCTATGGGGGTGTACATTCGGTAAGCATCTAACAGTCGGGCATAGAAGGCTTCCGGGCTTCACTAGCACCTTGGATCACCAAAGAAGGTTTTGACATGTTGGTAGTGGGTTTCCCCGCCACCTGGATTACCTGCACCACAAGGCGCTGGTAATCCTGAAGGGACCTAAGATCCTCGATCTTATAAGGGTCCCATCTTGGATCCTCAGAGGGAAAATTTCTAGCCACCCAGCGTTCAAAAGTCATATCCCGGGCTTGCATAGTTCCTTTTAAGATTTTAAGGGCGGCATTCCTAATCTTTTCCCTCTCTTCCGGATTGAAGATGGTACTCATCAACTGCTGTAGATCCCTCCAAGTTGGATTGTGGGTATCTACAATAGTTTTAATCAAATCAGTAACCTCTGCTGGTTTGTTACAAAACGGACCATAATGCATTTTCCAGTTTAAAAGGTCCGAGGAAGTAAATGGGACGTGTTGAAACACAGAGACAATTACAGGCTCTCTGTTTGGTTCAACGACGGACTGATCTACCCTCCTGAGAGAGGCTCAGGATCAGCTTCCTCACTCTGCCTGGTATTCTTTGAGTGAGTTCGATCAGCTATGGGGCCTTCCTGTTCCCCAAGGGGCAACTTCTGTCCCCCCACTGCTCCTTCTAATTCATCAGAGGAGGGGGTGATCTGTTCGCTTTTCTGGGTTTGTCGCTCCTTTGGGCGGGCCCCCTTGTCCGCTCCATCCAAACTGGTTTGGGCGGAGCGGTCAGCTGGGCTTGGTACCCCCGGTGAGTCGGGGATGCCCAAGTCATCGAGGGCTCTCAGGAAGGTATCAGCTCCTTCCCCTGCACTGCTAGAAACTGAGGTGCTTGCCCTAAAGCCTATTTGTCCCTCCCCCCGAGGGAGATATGGCGGCGGATTGGGCAGCTCCTCTGGGCAGCTAGGAAGGATGGTGGGGATTGTTTTTTTCCTTTTATATGGCAAGGTGCGGGAAACCAATAATCTACACCTTGCAGCTTTGCACTTTTGTAGCCAAATGGGGGGATGTTGTACTAGAGTAAGCCAGACATCGATGTATGGGGCTTGGTCAGGATGTCCTGTGGTGGGGTGGAAGACCCTCAGAAGGGTGGCATATAAATCAAATTTTAAAAAAAGAAAAAAAAAAAAAAAAAAAAAAAAAAAAAAAAAAAAACCCCAAAAAACAACAACAACGGAGGTGTTGTTTGAATAGAGAGAAGGCAATATCCTCATTTATTGTTGATTGGAACCCACTTATGAAGGTCCCTTCCAACTCTCTTAATCTGTTAATTTATGGCTATGAGGATTAGATAGCATATTTTTCCTACTATTTGTTTTTGAATTTTTGTATTTTATATTATAAACTAATAAAAACTGTAAAAAAAGAAAAGAATCTTAGCTACAATTCAGCTATTTATGCAATTTAGCTATTTCAGAGATACAGATATTTTCTTAGCTGTGGGCATTAGCCCAGTGTCTGTTTAAGACATTATCATCCAAATGCATAGATAGTTATTTAGTTGCTTACTAAAACTTATACCACACCATGCTTCTCCAAACCCTGTTTATTTGTCTGCTTGTTTGTTTGTCAATCAATCAATCAATCAATCAAATTTAAATAGTAGCCATCTGACTTGCAGAGAAGATTTTTAAATTTTAAATTTTTTAAAAGTACCGGTAATTTTTTAGTTTTAATTTTCTTTCTCCCCTTATTTCTATAGAAAGCACATTGTTTTGGGCAGAGTTCTGCTGTGAAGCTGAATGACATTCAGAAACCTCCTGAGATGGAGGTCAGAGAGTAAGATTTTAATGTCACTTACCCATTAAATAACAAAGTCAAGGCAGCCTGTGCATACATAGTGGTGCTAATTTCTTTTTTAACATTTCATTGTGCTTGTATGACTGTTAAGCTAAGAAGCTCAGTCATCAAGTATATGTCTAGTGTCATTTCGTTTCTAGTTGTGCAACATTTGAGACAAAGCTGGAGGCTTGCAGCATCATGAGATTCCAAAACCATAACTATTTTATGTTTGCACAGGTTTTCAAACATAAGATTCTTCTCCTTAACCATGGCACAAACATACTCCCAAGTGCACTGCATGATGTTACCTCATCCCTAGCCAATATCTGAGAAAGCTTAAAGGTTTAGCATTCTTTTGAATGAGTACTACTGGTATACAGTATTGCAAAGAAAGTTGATTTAATCTGACATAAAGAGCCAGTTTCTGCCAGCTGCGTTCTGACAGGGTTGTTTTTTTTGTTGTTGTTGCTTCTACCAAGGAATTTTACATCGCATTGTTCTTGTTTTTTATTATGTTTAATATTTTAATAGTTTTATTATTATGCCTTTGTCATTTTGATTGGTCAACCCTCCCAAGATGAATCTACTGCAGCTGGAATCCCTAAATGTCTGTACAACTCACAATGGTTACCAATAATGTATTTGGTTTGGCAGATAAGCACCATTTTGTCTACACTATTGTTTGGTGTTTTGGTGGCACTAGATATCATGGTAATAAATGTTTTTAATTACAAGATTGTATAGTTCTGGAAGGGACGTGGTGGCTCAGTGGCTAAGATGCTGAGCTTGTCGATCAAAAGGTTGGCAGTTCAGCGGTTCGAAACCCGAGTGCCGCGTAACGGGATAAGCTCCCGTTACTTATCCCAGCTTCTGCCAACCTAGCAGAATAAAAAGAATAAAACTTTATTACGGTCATCAACCAGCAACAGACATACAATAAATTAAAAATAATACTGACATTAATCATGAATAATAACATGCCTGTTATGAAAATACATAACATAAATACAACCTAGCCATTCAAAAGCATGTAAAAAATGCAAGTAGAAAAATAGGGACCACTTTTGGTGGGAAGGTAACAGTGCTCCATGCGCCTTTGGCATTTAGTCCTGCTGGCCACATGACCACAGAGATGTCTTCAGACAGCGCTGGCTCTTTGGCTTTGAAACGGAGATGAGCACTGCCCCCTAGAGTCGGGAACGACTAGCACATATGTGCAAGGGGAACCTTTACCTTTACTGTATAGTTCTGAAAGGATGCTCAAGGCCCTATTGTTCTGCCCCAGCTCCGGATTCCCGAGTATATAGACACACACACTAATGGTCCTTATAAAATTTATTAAGTAGCAAGAATAAACCAAAGTCCGGCAAAGGTTGGCAACCAGCCTAGAAAGCAAGATAAGACTTTTCCAAAAATGCTCTGTTGATAATTACAAGTTGTTTCTAGCAAGAAACTTACTAACGGTGTGTGACTTAAATAGGCTAAGGGAGTGGCCAATTATCCTCAAGCCTAACTCTCGAGGAGACCTCCTCCTCCTGAGTAGCCACTCCTGCCTTTTGGCAGCCCTGCGTGCTTGAGCATTGAGAAGAGGCTCTTCCACTTCACTCTCTCCACTTGAAGGAGCCTCTGGAGGTTCTGAAGGCCCTGGCTGAGTCTCTGCCTCTGGCACCATATCCTCTTCAGCCTCCTCACTGTCGCGAGTGCCGGCTGCGCAGGCTGCTGGCGTGACACCACACCAGCCTCCTTGTCGTCGGGATCAGCCACGATCCACGCAGGCCGCTGGTGGGCCACAACACCTATGTTCTTCATTGTCTTTACTGGATTTCTCAGGGTGGGGGCTATGGTTGCTGACTTGCCAGCAATGCTATTCTTTTGAAGCACTAGTTAGTCACCAAATTCTTTGTTTCTTCCCACATAAGAGAGCTATGGTGGCGCAGTGGTTAGTACTGCAGGCTAACTCATTGCTCACTCCAGGAGTTCGATTCTGAGCAGCTCAAGGTTGATTTACATCCTTCCAAGGTCAGTAAAATGAGGACCCAGATTGTTGGACACAATATGCTGACTTTGTAAACTGCTGAGAGAGGGTTGTAAACAGTAGTGGGATTCAAATCCGGGTGCTACCAGTTCACTCTCAATAGCGTGCAGGTGCATGCACTCACTTTGCGAGTGCACGCCGCTTCTGCGCATGTGCAGAGCATTTTTTATGATGTCTGGGCAGGTGGGCGGAGCCTCCTGCCGCTGCCACTACCGGTTCACCCAAACCGGGGCAAATCGGGAGCAATCCACCACTGGTTGTAAAGCAATATGAAGTGGTATATAAGTCTAAGTGCTATTGCTATTGCTTAGCCCTCCACATCTCTCAGCCAGTGTAGTTTGAACCAAAATAACAAACTGTTTGGAAAGCAGTATGCCTGTGTTTGGAAATAGGACAACTGAGTAGTAATAGAATTGGAGGAAGTATTATGCCAAGTAGGGTAAGTTTCATGTGTTAGATTTATTTATTTATTTATTTATTGGTTCGATTTATATGCCGCCCTTCTCTGGAGACTCAGGGCGGCTTGCAATGCGTTAAGCAATAGCCTTCATACTTTTGTATAAACCTATTTAGTAGGGCTTCAGCCCCCCCCCCCCAAGTGGTGTTCTTTTTTATACAAAGTTAGCTTATTGCCCCCACAATCCAGGTCCTCATTGGACAATTTAGCATTGTCCCACCTGATAATAGGAAAAAGGATTGGTGGTTGTTTTCCTGCTAGAAGGTGATGTTTAGTGGCATTGGAAATGTAACTGGAAAATCCACCGTCCTTTTCCTTAACTTGGCTTGCAATATTTAAGAACCTAAACATTCATTGTCCTCATTATTGTAGAAGAATAGGAATCAACAATGAGAACAACACAGTTAATTCCAGCATGCTTCCCTGCCAGCTCAAGGACTGCAGGGATAACATTATCACTCCTCTGTGAGGAAAAATTCTCAGACTTCTTGTAGCTTGTAAAGTCCCATTCATGAATATGCAAAATAATGATCGGTCTGGATTTAAATGTGATAAATGGTAAATTCTGGTTAAAACATGTAACTGTTGTTGGGGCAAACGTATATGCCCATTAACTAAGTTTTTTAGTGTATGCCTTAGAATTCATGTTAACACAAACTATGTGTACTTTTCTCAAATTTAGTAGGGAGAAATTATTATTCTTATGATTTTTCAACTTTTCCAAAAGAACGGAATATACAGTAAACTGAACTTCAGAGAACCCAAATGATTTAAGTATGCTGAACAGTTGAATTAAACATTTAATACCTAGTTTCATTTATGTTCCTAGCATTGTAAATTAGATGAAAAGGAAAGTCCTGAAAGGTTTCATTAATCAAATAGAAAATTATTTTTATGAAGTTTATTTTGACCTGTTATATGCAAATGCATTCCTGAATCTTAAAAAGGATTCATATCTACAGTTCCTTGCCTATTGTAAAAGCCGTAGAATTTTTGTGTTCTAATGTTCCCTTCATTATTTCTCATAAAATTTCTCCAGCATTTTTATTCTCAGAACCCTTTTAAAAAATAACCAGTTTCTATTCCTGAAAAATCTGTTGGGATTTTACACAATTGGCAAAACTGACAAGTGCTGGAGTTAAGAGTATGACTTCAAGCTGAAAGTGAGCTAAGATAGTCTCAAATATTTAAAAGGCAGCAGGATGCAATGGAATAGAATATATAAGTTTGAAAACTTAATGAAACAATAACAAGTATTATGAGCAGAGCTTTTAAACAAGATTTAGTATTCAAAACAATAAATTATTAACTAAGTTAGATCTAAGATACTGCAAAATATAAATTATTTCTACATGTCAAAAATGTAAATATTTTTCAGTGAACATTTTTTGATAAAAATATTCAAATCTTTGATGTATTTCCACGGGCAAATATTGGCAAAAGAATACCAGTGTTCATGAGGCTTTTTCTGATTAAACCCTAGGAGACTTTGGGGGGGGGGGGGAAGCACACAATTAGTTGTTCCAGATTTTAACAGCTACAGCAATCAGTATATATTTTTTCTGCCGCATAGGTTTTTGAGAAGTCCTGTGGCTGGCTCTTATTAAATTCATTATATTTCATAAGATCTATTGGTACAAAATATTATTAACAAAATAGAAGCCTTATTTCATAATCTGCAATAACAGTAGATGAAAGGTTTCCAATATATAAACATTTTCTTTGTTATTCCTGCAAAAGGTACACCTTAGTTACTACAATTAGCACGAGCAATTGATTGTGATGGGCTTACAACGGGAGTGAAATCCTACTGGTTCGGACGGGTTCGACTGAACTGGTAGCAATGATTGCCATCGGTTTGGCGAACCAGTAGCAATCATCTCTGGTGGCCCCGCCCATGCCCGCTCGCTTGCCTGCTCTCCCGCTCGCTGTTTCTGGCCACTTGAGGCTTCTGGCTACTCTACCAACCCATCCATCCCTGTCCTATATAAGTTCCCCAGCTACTCGCCTTGCCAGTCACCTGCTCAGCTCACCAAAGGTAAGCAATGCATGCTGCCTGCTCATCTTTCACCTTGGGTTGGGGGCCAGGGCCCAGGGATGTGCAATTCCCCAAGGCCCCAGAGCTGCTGCCTGCCTTGACCGGGTTGGGGAATGCATCATTCCTGGGATCCAGCCTTGACCCAGAGCTGCTGCCTGCTGCCCGGTTTCCCTTTGTGTGCTTACCTTCCTCCCATAGCTGGCTGCCAGGGAAGGCAAACCAGGGCTGAACCGTCGCCGCTGGGATCCCTGCCAGCCTGCATCTCGCCCCCCCCTTATTGCAAGATGTCTGCAGCCACAGCCTCTTTTTTCGGTGCACCTGGAGGCGCTTCTTGTGCCAAAGGGGCTGCAGACTTCTTGTAGCGAAACTTACTGGAGCTGCGCTCCCCTTAAATGTGCCGCCACCATAGCCGCCCTGTTCCATGCACCAGCCGCACATGCACACACCGTTTATTTTTTCATTCATCATTCAACAGTGGCAGTAGGCAATGGTGTGCGCATGCATGGCTGGTGCATGGAACAGGGCGGCAATGGCAGTGGCACATTTAAGAAGGGGAGCGCGCCTCTGATAAGTTTCGCTACAAGAAGCCTGCAACCGCTGCATCTTTCAGCACAAGAAGCACCTCCAGGCGCACTGAAAAAAAGAGGCTGCAGCTGCAGGCATCTCGCAACAGGGGAAAATAGTCAGAATAGAAAATAGAAATTAAAAAATACCGGGTTCTGTGACTGACTGGGCGTGGCTGTGAGTGATGTCAAGTTGGCAATGCCCACTCAGTCACAGGACCCACCGCCACCAGGCCACACCCACAGAACCGGTAGGGAAAATTTTTAGATTTCACCACTGGCTTACAACCTTACTTCCCTTATGGTCATTAATTGAAGTGCGGTGATTGCTATGCAAAATCATGTGACTGTGACTTACGGCATTACTGCCATTTTCTGTATTGACTCTGCATCTTGGAAGCCAGTTGCAAAGCACACAAATGGTGATCACATGACCACAGGATACTGCAACAACCGTAAATGCAGGGATAACATCCCCTCTCCATTTAAAAAATAAATAAATAAAATGGTGGGACCTGCAAAATTTTAAATTGTGCTACCTGTCATTTTATCCCTGATCCATTATAAAGGCTGTGGATCATATACTGATAGTTCTCGACATATCACCTTAATGAAGCCTGCCCATTACAGTCACAAGTAGTGATAGCCATTAAAGTGAGATGACTTCCCTCAATGACCCCCACCCCCTGCTCTGTCTTATGCAGCCATTAAATGATCATGCAGATCATTAAGTGGAGCACTGGATGACTCAGGGCCTTCCATGACCTCCCTTGTCCATTTGTTTGTGGAGTTTGTTGAAAAGCACACAAGAAAAATCCGAGTCTCCTACAGGACCGTGAAAATAGTACATGCTTTTAGAATAGCACAAGACTTCCATGATGTACAACCTCTCTAAAAGAAAACTAAGTCTTGCATTGCATCAGTCAGATATCTCTGCAAAAAACAGAAAGGTAAGTTGGGTGCTGCTGGGCCCTGGGCTGGGTGAGGAGCAGACCAAATTCTGCAAGTCCAATGTGTGGCTGGATGGGAAGCATGATAAGGGCTATAAGCAGTGGTGGGATTCAGCCAGTTGTCACCACTTCGGGAGAACTGGTTGTTAACTTTCTGAGCAGTTTGGCAAACTGGTTGTTGGAAGAAATCATTAGGACAGAGAACCGGTTGTTAAATTACTTGAATCCCACCACTGGCTATAAGCCATAAATGCCCTCTCTGTACCAGTAGCTTCTGCTGCTCAGTTTTAATGGTTAGTTGATTGAGTGGCTGGGTCCATTGGATGGGTGGGAGAGATAAGGGGGGGAGCGTGGCAGCATCCCTGTGGTCAATTGTAGGTGCACAACCACGGGGCCATAGCAGTAACTGAATTTTGAAACCAGATTGTAAGTAGCTTTGAGGAGATCATAAAAGGACTACCTGTATGAAATCATATTTAACTGTGTTGGCCGACTGAAGACTAAGAGCATCAGAAGGGCTGCAGGTTCTGCATTTTTGGTCAAGCCAAGAGTCCCATTTCAAAAAATGGCAAGTGAAACGCTTCTGTGAAGCCACAAGGAAGTCATAAAGCATCAGTCCTTAACTTTTATCCAATGATTGGGTATTCTGGCATATTTCTGAAGGACACTGAACTATTGATGGTATTAATATAAATGTTATATATATTCATGATTCTAATCCCTATTTCAATCATCCATTAAATCTCATTGGAGCAAATTAGATACAGTATAAAAATATTTGGCACCTCAAAGCTTATCCATGAATTCAAATTCCATATCCAAAGCTAGTCTTGAATTGTGGAACTGGAGACAGATTTTATCTTTACTTTTCCTTAGTTTTGGTATTATAAATTTTTCTAGCATGCTGATCACCAGCTCTCATAATACAACCTCTAGCATATTTATTTGGCTCTTTCGTTTGAATACATTTCTTGCACCCATGGAAAAGATTCTCCATTCCATATTTCATTTGATTAATTATTTCTGCATAATTTTTGTTTCTACTAATTAAGACTGGCTAAATATATTGAATATATTCATAAATCCATTGTGGCACTATTGATTTTCTTCACAATCTTTTCCATTAACCCTTAATGAAGGTTTTGACCACTGTTCACCAAAGTCAACACCACTGCATTTTTCTGGTTTTGCCATGAGTGACATATATGCCTTTGTTGTGGTTCATTCATGCAATTTTGAAGTTTTTCATTTATCTTTTTCAAATCTCACTATGTTTGTAATGATAAATTTATGTAATGAAAACTTCTCTCCTTGATTCCAGATTATTTCTGAGTAAATTAGCAGAAAGCTTTTCTGTGAAAAAACTGTAAAACCCTTCTCACCTGTTTTAATTGTTGACATGTCTTCCATCTACTTCCTGGGTTATGACAGCTAAGCATACTACAAAGATTTTGGTAGTGGTATTTTATCAAAAACTCCAATGGTACTTTCTAAGGAAGATTTATTTGTTGCTTTTTTTGAGTTAAATATATAGGATTATGTCACTAACCCAGTTGGGTTTTTAAACCTATCTGATGCATATTTGGACAGCTAAGGAAATTTTATATAATGCAGTACATTTCAGATCCCCCTTGGAATAGAAGATGATCTTAGTGATGTTTTCCAGTTCTTAAGAAAGACTGATTTCAATCAAAGACCGCTGGGGGTGTTTGAAATGGCCATTCACTCCAGGGACAATGCTGGCTCAAGGGCCTTGAGATGGAGATAAGCACCACTCCCTATAGTCAATGACGACTAGCAAAGTAAAATCCATATTCACTCCATATCTTTTACTACTGGGAAAATCACAGGGGACACAGAGCAGAGATGTCTTGTCTTCTATAAAAGTACTTGTGCTCCATTAAATAAGGACATTTTGCAATCTTGCTTTTGAAGCACAGCTGAACCTGCCAACAATGGAGTGCTGGCATAGAATAGGAAGTGATAGATATTATGAAAGTATGGATGGAGAGTGGAACAGCATATCAGATGGGGTTAGTAGTTAATTGATTTAGTTATCAAACTGAGGAAGCAATAAAACAAATCACTGAATACCAAACAAAAGTTTAGACTCACTCAGTACAAATATTTTACATTTATTGAAGTAATACAGTAAAAAAAAGGTACTGAACATCTGTTAATTGTAGTTGGTCCAGTTAAAGAGAGAGAAGCCATTGAAAATTATCTGCACATTTTCTAAATACACAAAATACCCCTTTTTATAATAGGCTAGGAAAGTGAAATAAGGTTAATTTTGGTTCAATGTGAATACAAAAAAATGAGAAATAAATAAAAGTTAAAATGTAGATCTGCTCAAATTGCAAAAGAACAGACAACTATTAAGTATATATAGGCAATCAGAGCACCTGTATTTTGAAGAATGCAATTCATTCCAGTGTTATGTATAATCTATGTGTTGCACAAATATATTATTTTTAAACAATAAAGGTGCTTTACCTGGTATTAAAACTGCTGGTGCTTATATTGGAACTAACTAGTGGTAAAACAATTACAACAAAATACATGTAAAAAAGCTGTAAACTCTTGTGGTGTATTTACACAAAATGTCTTAATTTCTACTGCGGCTTGCTAAGAGCCCAGTGTCCCTAACCAGTCTATGGCAATGAGGGGCTGGGTGCGGGCAGGGGGAAAGTTGGAGAAAATGCAATTTGGAAAACATAATTCTCTGGTCTCAAATCAACTTCTGCTTTCAACTATATACTCCTGTCAAATTAAAAGATACAGTGGTAATCACACACCTTTCTGGAGTTTGGCAGAAGGCTGACATGGCATTTGATAGTACAGAATTTATCTTGCAACTTGTGTTCTGGGATTCAGAACTCAAAAGCCATTAAGACTAGCCATGACAGATTTAAACATAAAATTAAAAATAAGTGTAACCTAAAGGTTGGGTTATGTTTTCTATGCACATTTTCATCATTCTTACTGTTCTGTTTGTCTACAAGTCGTATTTTTCTTTCCACATTACACCTTTCTGAATACATTTATTACAAAGAATAATGTCTTCTGTTATTCCTTTATACTTTGAGAACAATAACCTGTTCTGTCTGTTCTTTCCTGTATCAATAAATAACTGTAGCACTGACCTCCTTTCCTTGATTTAGAGTTATTTTTCTCAAACACAGTCAACCTTAGTTTCCCTTATTAAGGCATTTAGAATATCCCCTCTTTTTCCTTAAGTGTTAATGATGGGCCTACTTACATGAAATGACATGTACTTTTTCAATCAGAAATGAAATCCCACCAAAGGTTTAGCCAAGCTAGTAATTCTAAAGCAGTGCTTCTGTGACTGGCTTTCCAAGGAGGATTGTGACTTTTGTCTTATCATCTTACATAGTTTATCTACCTTTTATCAAATGATATATTAGATTTAGTTGGAGCTGATCTTTTCTGCAAAGACTGTGTTTTGCCTCATTTCTGACTTTAGCTACTTTTAATAGGTCTAGCACATCTGTGACCACTAAAAATTAGCAACTAATTTTTATATGTATTAATTCTTATCTCAAAATTGGAATATGTATATGCCTGTGCTCAATACTTTAATTCAAGGTTGTTAAGTTTGTGGTGCAATAGGCTGAACAATAACATGTTTGCACCGTTCAATTGCTCCACAGTAAATTGCACAAAACAAAACTTGTTTAAAGGCTATAGATCTCCCTTATTTTATCATCCTTCTTTTTATAGCTTCCCTCTTGCCAGAAAAAAATATTCTGTTTTTCTTATAAATACTAAAATGTTGTCAAAAATAAAAGAGGGAATTCAACTTTTCTAAGCACAGTTTTTGCACATTATTCAGTTTCAAGATCTAATGTTTTAACAACTAAGAGGAGAAAAAGCTACAAACAAGTAAAAGTTCTTTCTTAAATTGCATAAAACAAAATCTGTTAGAACTCAATAAAAATTTATGAGTTCCACAAGACCTACAATGCTCATAACAATTACTTTATAGAACTAAAGTCGAAAATTTTTAAAGAAATAGCCAGTTGTATGATCCCCCCCCCCCCGGAAGTCCTTGGGCCTTCTTGGATCAGGACTATTTCTTCTGTTAAGGATATTAACATAAAATTATAGAACAGACTAAATTATCTTATATTATTTAATCTATTTTGACTGATGAAAGAGAGATTAGTGTTGCAATAGCATCTGTTTTTGTTATTCAAGACATACAAAAATATTGTATGACCAAGACCTACTCCTTATTCATTTTTTAAAACATTACACTAATGTTTAAAATAGAATTTTAGAGTTAGCAGTGCTTCTTTCTTAAGACTCCTTTCAATTCTGACTGAGAATATGGCACAGGATGAAAAAGAATACAACCTACTCCCTTAGTTTCTTGTTGAGCAGGCTTGCTCAGTGGCTGGGAAATAAGGGGTTTTGGAAGCAGAAGGAAATTTTGATGGGAAAAAATCCTCACGATCACGGACTCAGTTCAGAATGGGTTCCTCCTATCCTGGCAACCTGCAAAAGCTAAAAGCAGGTATCTCACTGCAAGTAATTAAGGAGGAAAAGCTCCACTTCCTCCACTTAACAAACTAACTGAACATTTCTAACCAAACAAGCTTCATAAAATTGCTGTTTTCAACCTTGTTATAGTATCTGCGTCAACATTTAAAAATAGCAAAAAATGTGGCACTTGTTAAATATAAGTACCTTCATCCATAAATAAAAATACACCCCATAGTCCATAAATATTTCAAAAATGGAAAGTTACTAAACAATCTTGAATGAATGAGGGCCTTTAATGCTTTCTTACCTTGTTATTTTATATATAAGGTATATGGATCTTGTATTTCAGAATAATATGCTTTTGGCAAGAGTCTTACGCTATGTGGCTAATTTATTAAAAAAAATGTAATTTTTATAATGAAGCAGGGTATAGAGTGCAAATCAATTTCAAATTATTTTTTATGTGACATCTTCAAAAGTTTTGGCTTTTAGTTGTAAAATGTTAATTTGTTCACAAATTATTAGTTTCTTGCATTTTCAAATTTTGCTAATATTTATTGTTAAGAAGCAACAAAAATGCTTATTCAGTACTACATATTACCAGCAATAGTAGAGGGATTCTAACTTTATTTTTTTATAAGAACTACATTAATCCTGGAACAACAGATTTTCTAATTATGCAGAAAACTTTCACTTACTCCATTAAGAAAGGAAATGACTATATGCATTTGGTATGGATATAGGTTTACAACATAATTTAAATAGTTTTATATGGTAGGTAAAATTGGTTTTACAAATTACGTTACAAACTAAGAGAGTAGATTGTAAGAATGTGTGAAAAATATAATATTAATTAGCTAAACTTACTTTCTAGGAATGAACCCTGACTACATTCTAATTTCTGATTTTAGGTGACCTCTGATTTTAGGACAGGAAGCAGGCAAAACCAATGCCCAATGTTCTGGTATTATGTTCAGAAATGTTTTCAAATTTGAGCAGCAGTCTGACATGAATTGCAAATTTTAACTGCTTACATAAATGAAATATAAATAGCAGTTATCCTTTACATTTATACAAGAAGATGAGGACAAGGTGTCCTTCTAATCAATTTAAGACAAAGTGCTGTCTTTTTCCATAGTCCAAGACAGAATACATTCAGAAGACTTTAAGAAATGGAACAATCTCTCCTATATAAAAATAGTAACCCTTAAAAGAAAAATTAAAAACATCATGAATACAAGGAAATACATTCTTTACATTCTGTCCTGACATTTACACATTAGTGAATGCATAGACGAAAATGTGCAACTGGGCAATTTGTGGTGTTTTTCCCCTTATGGTGTTAGGTTTCAGTCCTTGTGCATTTCAATTAATAAAGGAATGCCAATGATTAAAGGCACACTAGTTGGATCCCTTTAGGATCACAATAATCGATTTTCCTACTTTTGCTGAATATTCATTTTATGATCCATGTATGCCCATTACTATACCTAGAAACTGCAATATTACATTTATTTCTCATTTCTTTTACCTCTTTACTGGATTATGAACTATAAAACAATCTTTGTATATAAGGCAACACTCACCTGATGTCCCTTGCATTATGTTACCAACAAGCTCATCTACAATGAAGAATGTTTTCCTCCAATATAATGCTTTACTGTTTTATTCTGATATTAATTTGTATCACATAAATGACATCAATTGTTCTAGTCTAAAAGTAGAATACATCTTGTTCAACATCACCACTCTGTACTACCACAAGACACATGCACAAAAGACCAAAAGTGCTCTTCCAGAATGATAAGCAAAACAGAGATGTTTTGCAATCACAAACTTCACCAACATTTTGGTTCACCCCTATTTCAAGGAGCAAAACATCACATTGCTTCATCTGGAAGCGCCTGACTTCCTGATACAACATGACTAGCATTTGGCTGCTTCTGAGGTATAATCTGAAACGCTCTGCAACAGAACTGACCAGCTAAGGATTCAGGAAATCAGGATGAAACCAATAACTGGGGAAAAAAAAGTGATTCTCCTTGGGAATCTCAGGGAAAATCCAGTCATTAATTTTGCTGATTATTGATTGGTAAGTCTCAGAGCATCCAAATATCAATTTAATAAAGGGTGGAGATACTGAGCTTAACTGGAAAAATGGAATTGTATTCTGTTCAAGATTGTAGTTTTAGAGGGCAAACTACTTTTTTCAAAGATAGTAATTTTTTACTACCATATTCTTCTCAGGCCCTTTTTTGAAAAAACAGCTGAGAAACTAATAGTGGATACAGTATGAATGTGTGTGTATTCCTTCCTGCAGGGACATACAGAATGGAAACATCAATTCACAAAGTTTTCAATCAGGTAATTCACTTTGCTTTTCTGATATAAAATTGATGCTACTGGTTATCTCAATCATATGCTGCTTTCATTTGCAAATATGTTGTTGACTGCACTACTGAATGCGAACATTTAAAATGTCTATTTCTATATTCCATTCTTCTGAAAGACAGCACTTCCCAGTAGTTGCTTTACATGTAACCCTCACTTTTGAATATATATATATATATATTTTCCTGAAAATAAAAAAAAAATACACTATTAATTGATTTGTGCTTGCCAGTTTCTGGCAAATTGTGCCTCTTTTTTTTTCTCATTTAAAGATGCAAATAAATAATATCCAATATTAGAAACAATTACTATATTGAAATGTCTTTAAAAAACATGTGCCCAAACTCCGCATTCTATAAGCATATCCTTACATAATGTTCTTGAATAAACACATATTCAATATTGCATCAACTGGTGATTTTGCATGTGTGTGTTCCTTTCCTTAAAAGATATATTGAAAACTGTACCTGTAGCTTTAAAATTCATGGGAATGATTCATGAACCACTGGGCTTACACTAAGACTGTTGCAAGTGCATGGATTGAAAAGGAGAAACAAAGGTCCCAAAATATTCTTTGGGATTTATCACAGAAATATCTAAATGAGCCAGAATTTCCTAACTCTACACATATATTACATGTTTGTCTATTTACACAAAACCTAAATGACAGCATATAAAGCACTTAGCAGAACACTCTGTTTTTAACATAGACATTTTGACATTCTTCAGGTTGGGCACATTTGAATAGAGTAGTTTTTTTTTATTATTTAAAAAAAAGGAATCCAAGAAGAATATCAGAAGAAATATGATATAAATGTGTCGGATTTGTGACAGGAAAAATAATACTTTTCTACAAAAAAGAAAGTCCTGTCGTTTGAGTCCTGCTAATTTCTCATGATGTCACCTTCTTTTTCAGTGCAGACAGCTCTTTGTGAATCTCGCTGAATTTTGGTCTCATTTCAGGATTGTAATCCCAACACCGTTGCATTATTTTATAGATATCCTCTGGACACTTCTGAGGTGCTGACATTCGATAGCCTAGTATGCATTTTTAAAAATAAGGTTATTATAAGTGTAACTGAAGAGAAAGTACAATTTAAATTGAAATGACCAAACCTACTTAGAACCGAATCCTATACAATATGACTTATACCGTACATACCAGTGGTGAAATGTAAAATTTGTTACTACTGGTTCTGTGGACGTGGATTGGTGGTGGTAATAGGGGTGATAATGTGATTGAGTGGACGTGGCTAACTTTTTTTTTTTTAACTTTTAAAATCATTTACAAACGAACAGGTCATAAAAAATGCTTTTAAAAGGCTCTGATGATCAGGCAACTCAGCTGGGATCGTCAGAGCCTTTTAAAAGCATTTTTTCTACCTCCTCTTCGGCCGAAGAGGTTGTAGAAAAAATGCTTTTAAAAGCCTCTGACAATCCCAGCTGAGCCGCACGATCATCAGAGGCTTTTTTTTTTTACTTTTAAAACCATTTTTTCTGCTGAAGAGGTTGTAGAAAAAATGCTTTTAAAAATTAAAAAAAAAAGCCTCTGATGATCGTACGGCTCAGCTGGGCATGGGAGGGGGCAGGGATTTTTGCTACTGGTTCTCTGAACCACTCACTGCCATCGCTACCGGATTGGGGGATCCGTTCCGAACCAGGAGCATTTCACCCTTGGTACATACACACATATTTTTTTAAAAAATATTGAACAGGATCTTCTCTGTTGCAGCACCTGCCCTCTGGAACAGCCTGCCCACTCAAGATTTTATGGTCGCAACTGGCCTGCTTTCCACAAAGCAGCAAAGACTGGGATATTTCCCTGGTCTTGAGGCCAGATGACAGATGAGCCTGGTTTCGGTTTTTGGGATTTGTTGGAGCTGGGTTGTGGGGCCTGAGCATGATTTATATTTATACACGTTTTTTGCTATTCGTTTTGTATTTGTTGGGGTTTTTTATGTTAAATCATTAGGCAGCAGAATATTTTACACTGCTTGACCTAGTAGATAGCCATATGCTATAACCTAGATCTCTTTCCCAGGATGACCACCACCCCTGCTGGCTTATTAAAAAAATTAACCCGTGGTTACATATAGTGAACAACCTAGAATAAAATTTAGAAGGCAAAGAAAAGGGAGATGAAATGAAAATCTCTTTTCTAAAGCAGCTGATCTGAGTCAATGGCTGTTTTCAGATCAAGATCCCTTGCACACATTTAGACCGGAAGACATTTACACAGCCCGGATCTCAGACCACAACAAAACAAAGCTTATAAATCAAGTGGCCTCACTTATTCTTCCTGGGTGTCCAGATTCAGTAGGCTTCAGCCTCGTGGCTATTAGATGGGGTTTCATTTTTATTTGGTTTTCAGGCAACCCCCACCACCGAAGAAAAACCAGGAAGACAAAGAAAAAGTGGAAACTGCCCTCCTCTCTCTTCTGCCTTAGAAGGAAAACCACAGTCCCTAATTATCTTAGCAAGATTTTGTAAGTGGTTTGCCATTGCCTGCTTCCTAGGGCTGAGAGAATGTGAGTGGCCCAAGGTCACCCAGCTTTGTTTTGCCTCTAGAGTGGTTCCTTCTGTTGCTCTTATTTAATAATATTTAGGAATATAAATGTGTGTGCGTGTGTGCATGTGCGTTTGCATACCATGTAAGAAATAGCAGATGGGAGAAATATAAGTCAGATGCAGTGTTTCAGATCTGAAGGCAAAACAGTGATTTGGAGCATACGTGGGTGTGCAAATCACAGTTGCCTACAACTCCTTAAACCAAATCCATCTTGAATTTACAAATATAGGATGCTATTGCCCAATCCTTATGGGAAAATAATGCTGTGGTTTTTAGGAGTAGAAAACAATGCTATGTAAGCACATCTAGAAGCATATTTTTGCCTGCATAACTGTTTTCAAGCTGCTGCACAGCCTTAATGTGCAGCTCATTCTAAGAGCCAAACTTCATCAAATAATATCCATGTAGTTCTTCTGAAAACTTACAGATAGTTAAAGATTAGCCTTGTACAATGACTTTTATTGTAAGATGCTGGTTATCTAATAATCAAATAGCAAAAGGTATCATCTAGCATGAATCCCTGCTATATCATTTCAGCTATGCTGAATTATCTCCTGTTCGGTGTTAGAACGTCCCCCTAATTTATAAAAGCCGTACAAATAATCAGGTGGAATTATTTAATACATATTCATTACGAACACACACATGCAATTACCTTTCTCTACTTGTTCCCGTGCTTGCTGATTAGTCATGCCTGGATATGGGCATACGCCTAAACTGAAGGTCTCCCAGAGGAAAATTCCATAGCTCCATATATCGCTCTCAGAAGTGTACCGTCCTATTGGATAAGGTGATAACAAAAAGATGGACAATGAAAATCCACACAGAAAAATAGGCAAGAAACAAAAGGCCCACCAGGCTGGGACCGTGGACCTTCAGAATTCTGCAGGAAGATGTGGGTTCTTCATGTCCAGAGGTTTTAACTAGAGACTCATGTTTTTTGGTTAATAATAATTATAAGCTCAATATGATTTTGAACCTATCAATGTAGTCCTTTGCACGTTGTGCAGGTTGTGCTAGATGACTTTTGTGGTCCCTTCTGACTCTTTACTTCCATGATTCATAATCCTAACTGTATCCTTAATCCATGCCATTTCCCAGTGCTCATATACTAAAACAAAACAGACTTATAGTTTAAAAAACCCATTGCAAAATATTAAAATATTGAGACAAAAACAGTTTAAAACAATACTTTGCAATACTAAGTCAAAGCAGCAGGGACCCATAGACAGGAAAGCGAAGTTTAAAAGTTCCTTTGGAAAGGAGAAATTCTTTATGCCAATCTTTATATCAACCTTTATCTCCCAGGTTATAGAAGATGTTATATTTAAATAGCTGGTACATCCAATAATTAAATTAAACTAAGTCTTAAAACAGAGGTATACCATTCAGTAGCCACTCTTATTATGAATGTCAAGCTATTTAGCAATCTGCTGCTTTCCACTTCTAATCTCCTCTAATCTAATTAATTTGCAGCCCTCTTCATTTTCCTCATTGGTTAGTTGACCAATATGATCAAACGTCTAGTAGCTCATTTCCTATTGCCAGTAGCATACTATGTGGGATGTTGGGAGGAAGCAGGAGATTTGTTGTTACCTAGCAACATTGTTTGTGGTGTACTAGTTTGGGACTGTCAGTAATAAGCAATGTTGACCAGAATTACTGCGACAGAGCAAAATCAGGCTTTTTGCTACACAAATCCTGCTTTCAATATCTGACTTCTTATAACTGGAAATAGAAATCAGCAAACAGATTAGGATAAAGAGGGAGACTGTAAAAGGCATGATGGTAAGTATCCAGATGTGAAACAGGATCTCACCAGGTGATAATAGATCTCTCAAAATCTAACCAATTTTTTTATTGACAAAAAGGAATAAGCAAATTTGGTTAAGTTTCCTAATCTTGGAAAATATAGTTCCAGATGTTAATCAAAGGTCACGTACTTGTCAATGTGGTTAAATGTTGCCCTGTAGGGGGGAAAAATCATATACCAACTTGAATCTCAAGTTTATATGGTTCTTTAATATTTAAAATGACTATAGCAAGTATATAAGCTACCCCAGGAATTTGTGAGATTTATTACTCTAGTATTGCCTCAGAAAAAGTGATTGTGGATTGTGTTCTAATGAAAATGTCCCTCTTGCATACTCAGACTAGAAACCAAGCAAATTTTATTAGATATCAATAGCAAGATACGTCAAACCTGTTTTTATATCAAATTTGATTTTTTTTTACAGTATTCTTCATGAAGGAATTTACTCTCCAAGATGAGAAGCAATTTGATTACCCCCTTCTTTCAGAGAAGAGATATGTTGAGTCACTGTAATAAAGAAAACCAGCACTGCCGGAACAGCCTAGAATCATATTTTTTCCTTGAGTTCTTTTGAAAATGGAATCCTTCAGGTTCTGAGACTTGGGAATTTTGTGTACCCCATGTACCCCATGTGCTTTTTATCAGTATTCACAAGATGATTAGGATAGATGGCCTGCTGTAACCAAGTAACCAAGATTATTAATTTTTCTGCATGGAGGTTTAAACAGTTTTCAGAAATAGCAAAGCAGAAATGGATGGAAGTAATTATCATGAGAAAGGATCAATAATTTATAACCGTTTTTGAAAATGACCTCTGAGTTTGCAGGGTTTTTTTTTTTTTTAGAATTTCCAATTGCTAAATATTTAACTTACAATTTAAATCTATGATGCAGCAGTATAAATGAAATGCACATAAGTGACACTGATGGTCAAAGTATGTTCATTGTTCCAACTCCCAAAGTTCTATTTGCATTTAAACATCTCATGCTGTTTTAAATTAGGCTACCTGGTAGGTGGAGAGCAATTATGAGCATTCACTGTGCTGCTAGAAATGCGATTACGTGTCTAAGCCTACATCTCTTCTCCTTTGGGGCTTAACATCTAATAGCATAGCATGTTTTATTTAAAATATTTAGGAATGTCAATTAGAAACAACTGTTTTGTTAAGAAAAATTAAGTTATATGGAATTAATTACCTTTCTCAGTATATGACAACCTTCTCCAACTTAAATTTCCAAAAATCTAAAACACAGCAATCTTGAAACACCTAATGGAAAGCTACTACACAGGAACCTTCAAAGAAAGCTGGTGCTAAAACTTTAGCACTATGCATTAAGGCCATAGAAAATTGAGAAAGCTATGCTGAAAAATGAGAGCATAACTATTTGCCAAGAGCTTTTATGCAACTATGAAAAATTGCTGTTGAACTGGAGACAGTGTTTTATTCCAAATGTCACAGAAATAACTTTCCAAGTATTGTGAATAAGGTTTCAGTAATGCAGATATGAAATAAAATATGCATTTAAATGCCAAATTTTATATATAATATTTTCAAATGCTTCTTTCAATTCTTACTTAGGGTACTGCTTCCTAAAAATACAAAAGAAAGGTGTGGCAAACAGTTTTGACATGCAAAAAGATATATTTTTAAATAATTCCTATGTTAGATTTTTATGATAAATTGGAGGTGTTTCTTGGATTTGCACATCTCAATCACTTTCTCTTCCCTTTCTCTTAGGAGTGGGAATAAACGTTTTAGCACTCAAACTGAGTAACTGACTCAGTGTCTCAAAATTCTTTTAACATAGAAGTCATTAACCCAGTCATAGGCTGGACACAATCACACTAAATGGTTTAATGGCTGCTATTTTTTGAGATACAACCAATCAGTGCTGTGAAGGTGTATTCTGTGGCCATCAAACTCCTAACCAATAGCTATGTGAGTTTTGTGTCAAACACAGGCATCCAGACTACTGGTGAGTGTCGGGAGCTGTCATTGTTACCATAATTCCTAATACAGATCCCCTGAAAGATCATGTGCCTTTGGCAACTCTCCTTCTCTCTTACTATGAGACTGTTTATGGGATACTACCTCTTGCCTGCCACAGCCAGGGAGAGGTGGCTTAGTGGCTAAGACACTAAGCTTGTCGATCAGAAAGGTTGGCAGTTCAGCAGTTCGAATCCCTAGTACAGGTCTCCTGCGTGAGCAGGGAGTTGGACTAGATGACCTCCAAGGTCCCTTCCAACACTATTACCTGTTACCCCTAAGCTCTCACTCCCTTGGACTAAATTAAGGGGCCAGGGACTAGGGAGTGCCCCCTCCCCCCAAAGGAGGGGCCCATCCTCTCAGAACAGTCTGCTGCCATTTTCAATCTCTTATGCCAGCTCTGCTTTTTCTGCTCTTGGCTGAATCACCAACTGCACATATTCCTGCCTCATTTCCTTGCAATCTGGATCCATGAGATTAGGCAAATAATGAAAAATGGGCAGCACGTTGGTGGGACTACAGACACTGAAGACAGTGGGCCAAAAGCACTGTTTTGACAATTGTGGCCAAGGGACAAGGAGGCGGAATTCCAAGGCCCGATTATTACCTCCCAGAAAAGCCATTATCCCATTGCCCAAGCAATCCTAACCCTAATGCCCCTCCCCATTGCTTGGTGGTGGGCCCAATTATTTGTGGACCCAGCAGCAGCAGCAGGTTAGACATTTTTCTCCTTCCTTTTCATTTCCTGCTTGCCGTACCTGAAAAGAAGGAGGAGAACGTCTAGAGAAATAGGTCTGACTTGAGAGATATATACATGTGAGCAGGTATGTTATCAGATGGGATTTGGTTGACATGTATTTTGATTTTCCAAAAGCTTTTTGACAAACTACCTCATCAAAGAATACCAAATAAGTTTAATAGCCTCCCAGAGTTGCTTTGGATAGTGAGATGGGAAGCATATACATTTAATAAACAAACAATAATTACAGTTTAGGAGGACAGACCTCAGGATAAGTAATTATTTAAAATAAAGAAAAACACAGGCTAAGAAAATATAGACCCTACAGTATTACTTCTAGAACAAGGAAATAATTGACTTTTTGGTTTAGTTGTTACATTCTGTGTAGCTGAAATGAAGGTAATTTTTACAGCCATTTGGTAGAGGTATAGAGAAAGCAAAGTAATAAAAATAAAACGAAAGTGGTAAAAATAAAAGCAGTTGACTATCAACCAAAGAAATTGTGTGGTTTTTTTCTCTAAAGAAAAATGTAAGTTTTAAAATAAAAATAAGAGTGGGAAGTATTTCGTGTCCAGTACTTATTTCCAGATACATCTTTAATTCCAAGCTCAGTTCCAAGAGTCTTCTATTTTGAAAGTTTTCAAAGTTGTCCTAATTTACAAATCTCATTGCTTAGGAATTCATTAGCAATATCAATTGCTGTAAAAGGCAGGGGCTCAAAGCCTGGTATTTCATTGGGTTTCAAATTATTAAAAGTTTAAAGGTTTTGATTCCAAGGGCATTTAAGTATCTTTTAGTGTTTTACTCCTACTTTTTTATTCAAACATTGTATGCTGGGGAAACTACTGATAGCAGCAATGTTTCCTTACCATAGTTCAAGGCCTCTGGGGCAGTCCATTTAATTGGAATTTGCTTTAATCCTGAAGATGAATATACTCCGTCATCTTCTTGACGAGACATCCCAAAGTCACTAATTTTCAGAACATTATTTTCACCTACTAGACAGTTTCTTGCAGCAAGGTCCCTGTATTGAGAGAAGATGCGGTCTTTAAGACATCACAATAAAAAAAGCATTTTTTAATATTCAAAAGCTAAATGAGTTAAGACCAATACAATCTCATTATTTTTTTACCAGGAAAAAAACTAATTCACTGAGGCGGGTGGGGAGGACAAAAATGCACAATATAGTATCTGGAAAATAAAGTATTTTTGTGCCATCTGTATGAGAGCTTCCAAGGAAAAAATATGCTAAGATGACATTATTTTTGAGAATTATTTTTATTATCAGACTTGATATAGAAGGTAGTCCAGCTCATCACAACTGTTTAATGTAGAAGAGAAAGAAACATTATAATTTAATATTTAAAATATATTTATTATGTATTTATTACTGTGGGGTACCCCAAAATATTTTTTATTTACTACTGATTGCTAATGAGATATGTGATTTAAAGGTTAACCATTTGTTTATTCATGTTTTAACTGTATTTTTTAATTTAAAGTCCGTACTCTTAAGTTTATCCTTCATTTTAAGAAATACTTGATCAAATCTATCAGGAAATATTGGAAGTATATATTTTGATCCACACCTTTCACATTCCTTGGCAATAATTGTACTTGTTGGATCTGATGGAAATTGATATTTAAATCATCTGGAGAGCACTACTGGAAAACAACAGTTCGAATGAAGTGAACAGCCAATTAAATTCTTCCAAAATTGGTGTGATTTGGTTTGAATACCAACTCTCAGTAGTCTGTAAGCTATATTCTGGTGTTTTTAAATTGTTTTCTAATTCAGTTTCAAACAGAGAGGATTGAAATAATCCAATCTTATTATAGTTGTTGAAGTAAGATAGCTAACAGTAGGGATTTTTGTGACAAGGAGGAACAAAAAAATTCTGTATTTATGTGAAAAGAATTAAAGTCTGCTTTTAAAATGATATGTACATACACAGACACACACACACACAATTTCTCTACATTGCTAATCTAGGTTTGCCAATTCCAGTTAAATCAAATGTTGGAAGATGCACTTCCGATTCAAATAATTGTGTATCTATGTATGTGCATATACACTGTTAACAGGCCACTCTCTCAAAAAGAAAAAAGGATCCAGACAAAAATCAAATAATCAATTAACTGATGATTAAAATTAATTACATGTAAAATAAAGCATTCCAGCCTTAAAAATAAATTGGGCCCCTACCACCTTCATGAATATGCATAAAGCATTGTTTTTCAGACACAAGCTCACAGTCTTGCCTCTTTCTCCTTCATCAAAACAGCAATAAAAAAAGAAAAGGAGGAGGGGGCTGTATTAGGAAAGATCAAGACAGGATGGAAAACAAAAAGAAGGAAGACTGATGAAAACTCACCATAATATATACCTACAATAAATCTCACTGTATTATGGAATGCACTGATGCATCTAGTCTTGTTCAACTATTATGAAATCTTGTACAAGTCAAATTTTGGTTCCCAGAGGAGGATAAAGGTATATCAACTGTACGTGTCCTTGTTACCCTCATGCTTAGAGGTCTGTCTGCAATGAGGAGTGGAAGAGGGAGAAGCCTCCATTGCTTTTCCTGTTTTAAAAAGTGGAATCTTCTTCCAAGCCTTTTTCCTTATTGCCTTTGACCAGGCAACCATAATGGTTTTTATCTTAAAAACAGAACTTCATGATTTGAATTACACTATGCACAATTTGTCCTGTCAAGAAGTTTGTTTTTTTTTTTTGTTTACTGTGGGCAAGTAGAAATTTAATAATCAAACCAGCTCAGTGAACTTGGGCCAATCAGTTTTATCCCAAACCATTTCACAGGGTTGTTGTTGTGGAGAAAATAGGAGGAGGAAGGTGTGTTGGATGTGTTTGCCACGTTGAGTTATTTGTAAAAATAATAAACATGGGGTATCACTTAACCAATGTTTGGAATTGAGGCACAATCACACTAAAAAGTATGCCATAAAAAAACTAAGAGCTGTTTTCAAAATATACCAGAAATTTGGAGATAACTACAGGTAGTCCTTAACTTACAACAGTTCATTTAGTGACCAAAGTTACAACAGCACTGAAAAAAAGTGATTTACGATCGATTTCCACACTTACAAGCATCCTCATGGTCATAATAAAAATTCAGATACTTGGCAACTGACTCATATTTATGATGGTTGCAGATCCTAGGGTTATGTGATCATGTTTCGCAGCCTTCTACCAATCAAAGTCAATGGGGAAGCCAGAGTCACTTATCATGTTAGTGACTTAACAACTGCAGTGATCCACTTACCAACTGTGGGAAGAAAGTTCATAAAATGGGGCAAAATTCACTTAACAACTGTCTCACTTAGCAACCGAAATTATGGGCTCAGTCGTGGTTTGTAAGTTGAGGACTGCCTGTATAAAGAATTATGGGGAAATATCTTTTCCTATATTTTTTTAAAAAATAACTATACTGTTATCACTGAACCAGCACCATGTTCCTCAAGACACGAGTTGGGATCATGGTAATTTTGTATTTGTATTTTAATATTTTAATTATTGGAGCCCTTGGAGGATCAACTTCCTATCATTTTACTGCAGCTCTCACAGGTTTAAATAATTCGAGAATTTATGCTGCTTACAAACAAAGCTAAAAATAAACAAGAGTCTGAAATCAAAGGCAGAAAGGCCTGGTGAAAACTGCACTCTTTTCAACTCAAATGTTCTTAAAAGCACTCCAAAACAGCTTAATTCCCATTTGTTTATGAACACAGCTGTCCAAAGGAAATTATGTTAAACTATTTGTACACAAGCATTTAATACATAGAATTATACTTATAGCTTTAATAGCTACTTCTGGGAAAAAAAGATGTATGAAGAATTTCCTATTTACTTTCATCATCAACTTTGCTAATGTTACTAATAGACAGGTTGCTATGCATCAAAAATAAATTATGCTTTGAGAATTAAGATTTCTTTAAGGACTAAGATGATAAATGATAGGTTTTTAAATGGAATTTTATTTATATGCAAATTGAATACAAGCCATAGATTTACTTGTTTTTCTTCTTAGGCATAAACTAAAGTCATTCTAATAAAAGGTGATAAATTATGCTATTTTGAGCAATGATATTGAACAAACATCTCAAAAAATATGCATATTTTGAAGGAAGGGATGGAACTTTATTTCATGGTTATTAAAATACAATATTGTGTTGCTATGGATAAGCAAATTGCCCACTCAAAGGAATATTTCATGACAGGCTCAAAAACTACAAAGAAATGTAAGAAAGAAAAATTGAAACTTCAACTTCAGACAAAGATATTATTCATTCATGACCCATATACCCATATTAAGCAAACTTCTCTCTTACTTAGGCAGGAGAAGAGAGTTTAATTATCTTGGAAGTCTTCAGTGTGGATGCAAATTCAGCCTTGTGGAGACCGAATATGACTTCCATGGTATTCAGTAACAGGTTTAAGCTCCTCCAGGACATATTAGCAACATTATCTCATCTGAACAGATGCAAAGTATACCTGCCAGAATCAGTCCTGATTGGAAAATGAACAAAGCAAAGCAGTTCCCTTGCCTTATGGGAAGCATGGAGGCTTACATCCAAGTGACATGGGATGTTCATGTTAGAATTACCACTTCTGTAGTCAAGCCAAATTTAGACCCTGAAGCATTGCTTTTATATGTCTGAAAAGCAGCTCTAGGGATGACCTGCAAAAGGAAGCTCCACCACGAATACTGATCCAATAATCTCAAAATTTTCCAAACTAGATTCTATTTAAAAACAACAACCCAGAAACATTTCTGCTTGTGCTGGTGATGAAGAAAAGCTATAAAGCAGCAGCCATCCTTCAGTTTCCATGTTTTAAGCTTAGGATGACGGTTTTTAGATTGGATGGTTGAAAAAGTATTGAATAAAAGGGCGAAAAGATTATAATTATATTTAAGAGGGAGGAGGAATCATTTTGACTGTAGCTGCTATAAGGAAGGCAGAAATATATACATATTTTTAAAAAATTATTTAATGGTATTGTGGGTGCTCTATCAGTAGAGGCTTTTAAGCAAAGTTTGTCTGAAATAGTAGAGGGTCTCCTGCTTGAGAAGGGAGTTGGACTAGAACAGGGGTCTCCAACCTTGGCAACTTTTAAGACTTGTGGACTTCAACTCCCAGAGTTCCTCAGCCAGCAAAGCTGGCTGAGGACTCTAGGAGTTGAAGTCCACAAGTCTTAAAAGTTGCCAAGGTTGGAGACCCCTGGATTTGAAGACCTCCAAGGTCTTTCCAACTCTGTTACGCTGTTTTCTTCTTTCCTTTTATAAATTTATTTTTCTTTTTATTCAAGTGAAATATTTTTTGGTCTTTTGAGAAAAACCAAAACACTTTTTTGAGAAATAAAAATAATTTCTGAATAAAAATTATTTTTAAAAATGAGAAAGCTTTGAGTAGTTCAATAATCCCCCACCCCCACCCCCAAAAAAGAACATCCAGCAAAGCCATGTTTTTATTAGCTAGGTAATACAAGTGGAAAAGACCCTTTTCTCAGGACACAAGCTGTTCCACAGGAGGGGAGCTGCCACTGAGTATGCCTACTATCAAACTCGATTTTGTCACACCATCTGTTAAGTAAGGACCTTTAGAAGGTGCTCATTAGTCATCTGGAGAAACTTTGTGGGAAAGGCCATCTGCCTGATACTGGTGGGGATCAATCAAAGGAGATTGAAATTCTGGTTTCTGTAGGCATCTGACCCCTTCTTTAAAAGGGTGTGATTCAGTGGGTGCCTCAGATAATGTATTCTTGAAATTGGTAAGCCTTTTTTGGCTTACAGGATTAGTCTTTCTCTCAAATTCTAGCATTTCAAATATTGGCGAGCAGGATAATTCTTTGCTGCCATTTCGTGGTCAGAATGTTCAATGGTTCATCTAAAGAATTCAAAGCCTTGAAATTGACTAGCATGTCCTTGGCTTTACCCTTCCAAACTGCACACTAGAAAGGTGCAATTGTCATATTTCTGTAGACTGTGTTTTGTAATTGCTGCT